ATTACATATGGTTTTGTGGTATACAGTTGTGGACGCAGGGGCATGTTATATTTAATATTCGGGGCTGTAGCTGTTTGTTATTGTAGTCATCATCCTTTTTCCAATAGGTGTGCTAAATAGCATGCTTTTGATTCTCGCCAGTTTATTTTGCATGAAGTAAAGGCATGTAAGCATCGAAGTCGATGATTACTCATTTCGGAGCTTAAGAGGTTTTGGAGGGCACAGTTGTTCTTTAAACATTTAAAGTCGTTTAAAGAATATTGCCTCTGGAAGGATAACAGAGTTAATCTGTTGTATTCGGGGAAGTCGGGAAGATGGAATTCGGTAAATGTTACCGTAATAGATAAATAAGACTTAGTGTTCTGTGTTCATTAATCTTAACTGAAGATGCAGCCGTTTTTACGTTACTTATTAGTGTCGCATTGCAATTATAAATTGACCCGCTGTTGGGTAGGCTGACAAGACGTGCTGAGTAGGAAGTGAATGTTTGGAGCAATGGATTGGCAGTAGAATGGGAACCGATGCACATGACAACCTTGTACTGATTTACGCCGTATGTTTGTAAGGTGGGGTATGATTGCATCAGGTGAGCAGAGGGACGCTCAAACCATATGCAAATGTTCTCGTCTTTGTGGGGAGCGTTGCGAACGCTCATCACCAAGCAACCGTGAATACTGAAAATGGTTCATCAAGTATTATTACAAGACAAATTAAGGGCGCTATGAGATAAACATTCCAAAGGCTCAGTGCAATGGCGAAACAAGATGTATGAAGAATGTAAAGCTACAGCGGCAGCTTCATCGTTGAAAATGACCGCATAAATTCAAATTACAACAACGTAATGGATGAACATGTTGTTCACATTGCATGCAGTGTTTCGTTACACTTCAAGATGTAGGAACTGACCCATATGTTGTCTGAAGATTACGCAACCACCCACTGAACCTTGTGAGCTTGTAGTCCGCCGCAAGGAATGCGCAGACTTTGCTCGTTGTCTGTGCGATGTCGGACGACAAAGCAGAGTGACAAAGGTTGGCCCTGGAAAAAGCCGTTGCTCTGTAAGCTGTAAATGTAAAATGCAGACGAAAGTGGAAAGGGAAGGAAGTCCGAATCCGGTGCTATGCTAGTAGACGACTAATGCTCGTACGCCACAGAGTGACCAGGGGCGGTAATGAGGACGGCAGATTGCGGTGCCTGTGTACTTTGTCTCTGAAAGGGAGAGCAGCATTGAAATGTGATGTTACCTCTAGCTCGCTTTCACTACCGCTTGACACAGAGGTACCAGTCAGCGATAGGATGGCCAGGGGCAGCGATAACCTTGACGTTGTGGGCGGCACATATGTACTTTGGCTATGAAAGTGATGTCACCATTGAAGTACAACCTTACCTTTGTACATGTATCACTGATGAACGCTCAAGTGGGACGAATACGTATGAAAATAGGCAGTGGCAGGGTTCACTTTGACGGCCGCGCATGTTATTTTGACTGTGGAAGGGTTGTCATTATCGAAAGGAAGGGATGCCTGTAACTAAGTTCTACAGATGCGGCTCATTACGGTGGCTTACGCCGGAGGCGACGTAGTAGCAGCAGTAAGTAGGTTGACGAAGAGCGGCACATACCACTGTGACTCTGAAAGAGAAGTGACCATGGGAATCCAATGGTACCTGTGCCTTTGAATCAACGATGCATCACATGCTGGCGGCAGTAAGTGGGAGTAGGGGCTGTGGCTGAGTTAAGTACTAGGGCAAACGGAGGCGCATATCACATGGGATCTGAAAGAGACGTGATCATAGAAATCCAATGGTACCTGTGGTTATGAATTAATGATTCATCACTTGCCGGTTGCAGTAGGTGGGAAGAGGCGCAGTGCCACTGATACATGATAAGGTGCTAGCGGATAAGCTGCAGTGGTAGGTTCAGGACATTGGGAAGCCGGATGCAATAAAGGTGACGGACCTATGAACCATTTAGAATTATTCACCACTAGTTAAGTGAGCAGGTATATAGCTCGGAACGCCCCAAGGGTGAACACTGAGAAGTGGTTTTGCTGGCCTCATAAGAGGCCACGTTGACCGGTCAAAATCAATGTAAACCGGACGTGGAAAAAGAACTCCTTAGGCAGTCCAAACATGTAACATTGTTGAAAAGATATGTTACATGCAAACATCTGGTGTGTAAAATACACTGTGGTGTGAAGACGCATGGAATTCCGCATCAGTCTGCAAGCGACGTGACGGTCAAAGCAATCATGCATTCGAAAGGGAGATGCGCGCATCCAAAAGGCACATGTGCTCGCATAATACACGAACCGGAGGTGCGACGAAGTAGGTATGCTGTGTCCCATGTTACGTGGAGACGGGCCAGTAGTGGCGGGCCACTGAAGTAGACACCACAAATAGACAGAGGTTCTGAAAGTAAGGTTGCGTGGAGGCTGAAGAATAGTGTCGTAACACCCATATAGGTGGCACGCATACACAGCACTTCAAAAAAGCCACATATGAAAAGCCGATACACGTACCGAAGGTGCAACGGACAAGCCGCTGCTGGCGATTTTCGGCTCGAAGAAGGGAATTCCTGCCTATACAGCCAATCGACTCCAACGATGGGCACTCACCTTGCTGGGCTATGATTTTGAAATCCGTTATTAGCCAACGAATTCGCTGGGCCAAGCAGATGCGTGGTCACGCCTCATTGATTCCCAGCACCAAGAACACCGAGGACACCATCATTGCCTCAGTTGAGATGGAACCAGATGTCAAATTCCTGGTGAACAAGGCACTACATGGTGTGTCAGTTACGGCCGATGCTGTGCTGGCCGAAACGCTTTGAGACCCAATCCTGAAGAAGGTGACACACTTCCACAGAACCAGCTGGCCACGTTCGTGTTCATCTGCCGAAATGCAGCAGTTCTATCAGCGAAGACATTCGCTTTTTATTGTGGACGATTGCATCATGTTCTCAGACAGAGTAGTCATCCCGCAGGCATTGCAACAAAGAGTGCTGCGACAGTTCCATGCAGGACATCCAGGGCTCAACCGAATGAAAGCGCTTGCCAGAAGTTATGTGTATTGGCTGTTTATGGACAGGCAGTTGGAGCAGCTAGCTAAAACTTTGGCAACTGCGCTACCGCCTCGGCCGGTGGCCGAGTGGTCGGTACGTTTGCTTTCCAACCATAAGGTCACCGGTTCGAATCCGCGTAGGGGTGGGCGTCCTCGCGGCATACTCAGCCCGCGCGCGCCTGGTGGTGGTCGCGCGGCAGCGAAGCGCCGTTACGGCGTATAAGCTGACACACATTTTGCGCTGGACCACCCACAGGTCCACCCCCACACCCCATATCCAGTGTAAGCCTAAAGGAATATGACCGGGAGGCGTGTGGATGGGAGCCACATTTCATCAACGGAGCCGGCCCACACTCCTTCAACAAGCCGAACAGAAGCATTCCGGCGTGATCGGGAGATCATGCACCAGGCTTATACATACCGGTGTCTGGACCGTAGCCCGTACCACACCGCATGGAAGCACTCTTTGAGCCTTGCTCCGTCACGAGGACGATGCACCCCGTCCCCTCCAGCAACGACCAACTGTCTCCTGGAGCCAGTATGGACGAGGTAGTCGGTAATAGACAGGAAGGCACCTTGTCAACATGCACATCAGGCGCAGCCACACCGTGGAACGCAAACAACATCTACTTATGAAATGCAAGCATATATATATATATATATATATATATATATATATATATATATATATATCACGGTTTATAAGGCATCCTCTTCGGTTTTGATGCTACATATCGTAAACTTTCGTCCAGTGTTTGCTTTATTGCCAAGTCGCTGAAGCTTGATGATGTTGGAACGAGTTGGCCCCCTATCAAAAGCCCCAGGCACATTTATTTGGACTAAGTAGAGGGTCTTTTGTCGCCGAGCACTCAGTCGACTCGGTTATTTTCTGAATATTAAGGCGGTTTTTTTCTACTCATTTCTGGCTCTTTACATAGGGACACCTTGAGCCAAATTCCATTTACACGAAGTATACGGTTGATCACTGATCCCACTGGGGCTCACTGTCTTCCGCAGCGTCTCTCTAGAACGGTCTTATTGACATAACGCTCACCGCTGGCCTACTGATGCAGCCCTACGGCTTCTAGTCCACCGGCCGCGGGTTCGATATTGAATAATTCCGGGTGACTTCGCAATATTCCTTGCCACCGCTAGCAGCTCTGACGGTTGTTGCTCACAAAGCGTCGGTACGTGGTATCCTCTTACTCTTGATGCCAAACCAAGCCCAATCACCTGATGTTTGCTTATCTCAATTTCTGACTGTAGCATTTTAATAACGGATCGCTGATTATAGCATTGTTTATTGTGTTTCCTCACAAAGCAGTACACCAATTGACTCAGCTCAATCTTCAGCTATGTTTCTTCTCAGTTGAATAAATCACCTACATCTTCGGTGCTCATGTTTCACTGAGCTCTTGAAGCTACCTCTGGTTGTTATTCGTCCCCATTTTGGTTTTATCTCAGCACACACACGAGAATTATCTTCATCTGGTACTTATAAAGTCCACAAACTGTGTGGCTTTTTGACATCCCTTCTGCTCTTTTAATATCTTTCGTTAGTTCGACCCATGATAGTCATTAATTCAGTTACACCGAACCCCCTCCAATTTATGGGAGTGTAACGTGTGCATCCGACACTTCGGCATACCTCAGTTAAATTCTCTATCTGCTCACCCACCTCTTGCTTGTGCTAGTTGTAGTCGGATGCATCATTCATCCAGGTGTGTTCAGACACTTTGACAGTCAGTGGCAACAGCACCCAACGGATGGGTCACCGGGATTGTGCGTAAGCGACTGCCCAATAAAAAATGCATCATTAACTAGTGGTAGTTACAAACCAGTTCAGTTTTCTCTTCGGTGGCTTTCCAGTAAGGAGATTCCGCTCACATCATTACTATTTCACTACTTTTTCTCAGCTATCCTACTCTCTGTTCTTCCAGAAATGGTCTCACGCGATGTTGAACAAAGCCCCAAATTTTTACCAACTCTCACCGTCGCTGAGTTGCCGTTGCAGTTGGAGTGCGGCCGTCCCGGGCGTTTAGAGCAGCATTTACCTTCCTGGGCCGACCAGGGTTTCCCCAGTCCGTTTCGGTGGTCATTTTGCGAGTTTACGAATTCTGGGAAAGATATTACTTACAACTGTCTAACTAAAGTGCGTGAGGCTCCCATTCGTGTTTCAGATTACTTCGAACACGTCATCCTTCCAAATGGTAAGTAGTGTACTTATTTCCTTCTGCGTTTTACCAGAATTTGAGTAGGAAGTTAAAATACGATTTTCAGCGGTGTTTTCTGCTTACAGCTGTGCTTTATTCACCAATAGGCGTTTACTATTTTATTTTCTTATCCAAAATAATCTCTGTTTTGTGGTAATCGGTTCATTGTAGGCACGCACATCCCCTCTCCGGCACCCGTGCATTTCTAATCCTGTTGATAGTCACTTTATATTTCTCCTTCACACCGCGTTTTTCAGTTGCTTTCGTCTGTCTTGCACTCACTGATATGAGGTTCCCCTTAAGCTTAGTTCTTATCTTGCTCATCCTACGCTACTTTCTTTTACGAAATACTTCACACACACGCGTCACTAGTCCGGTATAGTTCTCTCTCACTGCCCGCCGATCGCATATTACCCGTTGGAAAAATTGCTTAATTTGTTTCGCCTTGATCGCGCTATTTTGGTAGTCTGCATACCACTCTACTTTTGGACACCTTGCCTTGTTAGACGAATTTTATCAGTCTATCCCCATCTGTTTTGGTCATCAGGGTATTATCCACATTAATTTTTATCTCGTTTTTCATCTATACCTTTTTCTCCGAGCCTTCCATAGTAAACTTGCTCTATCACTACCCACTTTTATGTATTCAGGCACCCTCATCCTCTACAAACGCACCCCAGCTGTCTGGAAGAATATGGGCCTTCTATGCTGGAGCCATGTCAGATCAACGGCCATTTTTTCAGTCTACTTCGGTGGCTCTTCTTCAGACCCGGAACCCATTCTATACAACCCAGATGTTGATTACCCATCGGAGCGCGCAGTACAACCTCTGTCACCTCGAAACCAGGCTATAACCTTCCGAAAAGGACCAGTGAGTTCATCCTTTTGATTTTGAACTAGCGTTTTCTGACTAATGTTATCTCCTGAGCACTGGTAAACACAAAGGCTTACACTTGAATTCCCATCTTATTGTTGAAATGATCCTCAGCGCGGTTTTCATTACTGCATCTGTGCCTACTAGTTGCTTTCTACCAGGACATATTTTACCTTTGATCCTCTGCTCTCATAGTTTCTCTCTTCTCACTTTTTCGGCACGGTTAACACAACAGTTCTTTCCCTACATGATCTATGTGTACTGCTTTTTATCCACGTGGATGTATCATTCCGTTGTAATAATTGAGTCCTAAAACTCTGTCGACATTACTTTTTTCTGCCCTCATGTTAATTATCTTTTAAAGCTTTCTGAAGGCACCATTGTTAAAAATAGCTCTTTGTCGGCCTATGCAACATTCCCGACTGTTCGTTTCAACGTCCTTACTCTGTGTGTTCGGTCAGCTGGTGGTGCTTCGCATATCTCCTCAGTTAGTATGAATCGTGTTCCCCATACAAAAGTTGCTCCGAAGAAATTTACGCTCACTGGCCTTTGATCCTAAAATCTTTCGTGAACGTTGATGTCATATCTGTGGCTTAGAGTATCACAGTGTCTGAGTTTCTTTCAGGAACTGCACTGTAAATTGTCTAGAATCATGAAACAGTCACTGCGATTGATGCACCCTTGGCTTTAAATTTTTGACCGATCATTTCGAGCATCCCATCCGCTAACCTTCTTGATCACCAACTTACTTCAGCTTATGAATACACTGGAGGTGTTAGCGTCACCACTTGATGAGATAGCCACCTGATCCACCATAGTTGACATTTACAGTGATGTTATTCCCTGATGATTTCCTTATCATCATTGAGAGAATGTGATGAACTGCTTACTTTTCCAGTCCTTTGTTTCGATCTAATCTGGCGAAAAGCACAAGGAGCCTCAAAATGGGGAATTTCGACCCCATCTTTAACGCGAATCATATGATGTAATCCGTTAGCAAGTGGACTACTAAACTCATTCATACTTCATCCAAACCATGTTTGCGTCACGCTCTGGTTGCTCCTTGTTCCGCTTAAGTGTCCACTCAATAAAGGGGCATTTTCCAGATTTTGCCTTACACCATACCCTTGAAGGGGATCGTATTTTCAAACAGGCTAATGGGTTGCTCCACCATTGATCGAAGGCAATTCTTTTTCAGTTTCTTTCAGTTGTAGCGCTATCTTTCGGGTGCGAGCATTGCAATGTCGTTACTTCTCTTCAATTGCACTGCGCCTACCCGATCAGTGTACAGGTCTGCGGGAGTCGGTCACTCGTTGATGAGAATGTTGATGTATAACCTAGAAGTTGGACCAGTTTTACGCAATAGTGGCTTGCCACATATAAGTGCGCGCTTTGGTATGCGCTTCGTATCTCAAACTTCTGCAGTTAGATTTGACTGCTCAGTTATTGGTTCTCACCAACATCGATCAACTGAAGTCAATCGACTCATACATTAAGTTGAGTGTTTCATCTCAGACGTTCTGTTTGCCTAATAGGCTTTTGCACGCCTTGTCGAAGCCCATATCGGTAATCAAAACCTTGATCAGCCACTTAGATCGCGGGTCAACTTGGTCGCTATAATACAAACACCCAAGCGTTGCAGATCCTGGTGTAATGGCCATCTCCTTCCTGGTTTTAAATGGCAGTCATCGGGAACAGAATAATAAAAGAGAGTGAATTAAAGCACAAAACCCAACAAAAGCATTAGGAACATTGCAGCTTTACTCCCTGAAGTGTCCTAATTACATTCAAATGAGATCAGCTGCCAGAATACCTCTAAATGCTCCATTGGGCGATGTCAGTTAAATTGTATAATAGTGAATAGGGCGGCTAGGCTAGGCAAGCCGTCACCTTCTCTCAGCAACGGTTAATAGAAACCGTTTGGTTTATGTTCCTGTTTTCACATTATCAACACGTCTGTCCTCACCTACTCGAAGGTAGGAGACGATAGTTCGATATCTGGGTTACTTCTTATGTTCCCAGTAGCCCTGCTGAACTGCACTTCAAAATGCTGCGCCAGTCGTTTAAATATTGATTGGCCTGGTTCATTGCTGAATAACAAAACCTAGTACCATGTTCCGTAACAGCTTGATCCACTGGTCTCCTAGTCACTCACAATGCTCCTCTTTCGCGAACCCACATTCAATTAATTTAGCGAATAAAGCTGTTGGGTTCTTCTATGAGCTGGCCTGTTCTTTGCAGACTATTCGTCACCAAAATGGACAATTTTCCTTTAGGTACTGCTTGCATTGCCTGTTTTGGAAATCGGCAATAATCCAATTTCTTTTTTCACCTTCCGAGCTATAAATATTTTGAATGCTTGTTTACCTGACGGGCTCATCACCTCTGGTATACTCGCACGAGGTGCTATTGACAGGTGGATAAGTTTACTATCTTCCCTATTTCCTCTGTGGCATCAACTTTATCTGTTCGGAACGTTTCTGCTCCTTGATATTCCCTTCGTGCCTGTGCAATTGTCTCACTTGTCTTCTCTTGAAAACTGCACTCACATTAGAGATTCTATCTGCTTCTCATTATCCTGAATCAGCATTCTCACACGGGGATTCGCTTTGCGCTTATTTCAGAATAATGGTGCCGTTTTGCTGGCCACTTACCGCGCCGACATGAAAACTATCAGGGCCGAGTGGACCAAGGACAATGATCATCTCCCATTCGGATTTCCGGAGCCCACTGAATTCGCTTTGGTTTTCCCTGAATTTGTTCACGATAACCATTCAGGTAGCTTTCTAAATACTTCAGTAAATTCAACTTGATTTCGTACTGTGTCGTAAAACTCGGTCATTCAAGGACAAACGGTTTATCGAGAGAGAACCAATCAGCAGTACAATACAGCATAGCTCATTCACACACCGATCTCGTGTATAGTATGCAGCCGGTATCATTACTAACGACGCAGTTCCACCAGTAGGGTTCCTCTTTATTCTAGTGAAGCAACACTCGACAGCCGTCCTTTAATCAGCGGATCTTGGCGTAACCAATAACCGGGTTCGTTCGGTTAGCATTGACTGCTACGTAGGTCTCGTCGGTATGCCTGCTCGATCCGGTGCACTACTCCCATCGTATCCTCCTTTTTCATGTTCTCCTCTTTTGTCTGTCCGCACACAGCGTACGTTTTACCGCCCCTTGTTATCTTTGGCGGTTATGCTTTTGTGACCCCATCGCCTCTCGCTGCAGAAGGCCTCATGTCTAGTTCATTTTGTCCTCGTCGGTACCTTCTCAACTGCGCTGTTTTCTCTGCTTACCCTTCCTCTAATATTGACTTCATCTAATCTTTTCCGGCCTTCGCGGTCGCCGCACTTTTCTTCCGTCGCTCTTGGACACTGCGCAGCAGTCGAACTCATACCTCTTCTCCCGATGTCAGTTCAGATGATGGGGATGATGATGAGGAGGAGGAGGAGGAGGATGATAATGTGGATGATGAGGCTGAGGAGGAGGGGAGGATAATAATGTGGATGATGACGCTGATGATGAGGATGGTGGTGGTGATGATGATGATAATGAAGTAGAAGAAGAAGAATGCTGAATACTGTATTATAGAGCAACTAGAAATGAATTCTGTACAACTCCTTCAAAATATGGTGCAAAACGTTATAAAAATTGTCAGTCGTGAATATCGTTATCGTTCTCATGTAACATGTAAAATATCTGACTCACGGTATTGCAGGACTCACAAATGTGATATGTCATCGTATGTGTGCAATCGTTCTCTGAATCGAATAGTGGTAAAATATAAATCTAACAACGTTTTGAACTGCTGCACAGATCTGACCTCCATCATATGTTCAGGCAAACTGCTCCGAATATTTACCACTCTCCGTTCAAAGCACAGTGGATGGGGAACTCGCTTCACATGCGGCACGACAAGTTTGTATCTGTGTCTGCATGTGCTGCATGGCCCTCGTAAGTATAGCATTGGCCTCGGCATGGGGAAGTCACCGAGATGTAGAATACGGTAGGTCATAATGAAGTCGACTCGCCCTCGACGGTAGGACAAGGTGTAGAGTCCTAGTTTCTCGCACCGGTCTTCATACTCCAAGCCACGTAAACTCGGAATGACTTTGGTATCAATGTGTTGGACCCGTCCGATCTTTTGTGCCTCGCGTCGGGTAATCGGAAATTAGGCGAGCGAACCGTACTCTAGCATTGGTCTAATGATGAAAGAGAAAAGGCGAGTGGCAACCTCTTCAGACCATGTGCCGAAGCTACTTTTAAGCGCCCAAACAAGCGCAGTCCATTACGATATAGCTTGTTCGTGTTGTCCACGGACTTCAAATCGTAGTGCGAGATTATACCTAGGTCATTCACGGTTCGTGTGGGATATAGCGGTTGGCCGTCAAGGGTGTAGCTTCGGCCGTCAGCACCCTTCCCCAGCCTCGTAACTACAGACTTGGCTGGGTTGACTGGGAGATGAACTTCTGCAGACCATGTGAATAGGCGGATGAGGTCCTGCTGAAGTATGCCACAGTCGTCGGCAGCATCATTTTCTCTCCAAATCTTCATTTCGTCCGCAAACAAAGCACACGGCGACCTGAGAAGCTAAGGTGGATCAGGAACAGAGTGGGCTGCAGCTCACTGCCTTGAGGCACGCCACTTGTAAAGGGATACCAGTCTGTTGGACGGTCGTCGACTTGTACCCACCACTTTCGTCCAATAAGAAAGTCGTGAATCCACTGGTGTAGTGAGCCACCGACGCCACACATTCTTAGTTTGTGAAGGAGAATCTCATGGCTAACCCTGTCGAACACTTTCATCGGTGAATATCACTTCGACAGACTTCACCTTGTTTATTACCTTCAACCACTCATGCCTCGTCACAAGTTTGTGATGCATAAGCGGCGTTGCATAAAGCCGTGCTGTGCGAGCGTCAGATCCTCTTTTGACTGTAGCAACTACAATAATCCATTTTTTACGATTTTCGCAGCAACCGTTGCCAAAATACATGTCAGGCAAATCGGCCTGTAGTTGTCTACTTTGCTGGGGTCGCCGCCTTTCGGAATAGGATTCACCACCGAACATTTCCAGTAAATCGGCAACGAACCTTCGGACAGCGACCTGTTGAGAAGGTCAGTCACGACAGGAGAGATGATGGTCGAAAGTGACATGAGAATCAGTGCGTGAATCCCATCAGGTCCGGCAGGTTTGGTGCCGTCAAGACTGGCGAGTAGTTGTCATACTTCTTCAATGCCGCAATCCAGACTGTCGAGTTCGATAAAAGCGGTACACGTCGTACTTGGAACAGACACCTGGTCATTTGCAAATGCAGAAGCGAAGTGCGTCGCCAACCCGAAAGAACGCTCAGTGCTGGAGGTTAGGGGCTGTCCGTCCGGGACATCCAGCACTAGCACATCACCTGCCGGCTTCAGGCGTCGTTTCACGTAAGCAAGGATTCCCTTTGTGGTGGTCTTCGCGGCGATTGCGCGCTGCTCTTCGAAATGTCGGTGTTTATTCCTTTTTGCACTGTCCCATAGGTTCCGCTGACTTTTACACCCTTCGTAGTCATTGGCAGAGCCAGAGAGGAGGAATATGTCCCACAGTCTGCGCCGCCTCCGAGCCATATTTCCATACTCCTTGTCAAACCAATGAGGCTTAATCGGTTCAACCTTCCAGTATTTCAAGGGCACACATTGGGAACACAATGATGTCAATCTATCTTTTATAAATGTCTGACAGTCTTCCACAGATGTATTTTCTGACAGAGACCAATCCAGTTGGCTCGTGGCTCGAGCTAGACCGTCGAAGTCCGTTTTCCCATGGGTGCTAGCTGGTTCCAGCGGACCTGAATACGGCAAAGGTAATTCCATATCAGTTATAAGCACTGATTGTTCGCTTGTAGCAAGGGGCTCCAGGATCCGAACTTCACGCACTTGTTATTCATAGCTCGTTAACATCAGGTCGAGACGGCACGGGGTTGCGCGTGGTGTTATGCGTGTTGGCTGGCATATGTGGTGCGATGCACCAGTTTCAAGTACCAAATCCAGGAATTTTGCTTCAACTTCACAATGTCCAGGCATCAAATGCACATCAGGCCATCGTATTCGAGGACAGTTAAAATCGCCCATAAGTAGAAAGTGTAGACGAATCATGTAGGTTCGAAGATGGGGCTGGCAATCCAAACAGCGACTTAGCGAGCTGCGATAGACTGCGCCCACAAGTAGTTCTCCGCGCCTGAGGTGGATGGAGCACCAGTGTAGCTCACACAAACCATCGTCTCTTCTGTAGGTGCTCACAAGTCTCTCACGCAGGGATGACCGGATGTCAAGCGAGATACCACCGCGGGCATTCGTTAGTCTAACGCATCGGAAGCACGAGTAACCTTTGAGTTCAAATTCCTGGGGGTATAATTCTGAATGCAGCCATGTCTCTGCGAGTCAAACTACGTCTGGCCTCTCAAGCGTAACGAAACAACAAAGCTCAGCGCGCTTCTTCATCATCATCGATGTTGTTGTTGATGATGATGATGATGATGATGATGATGATGATGATGATGATGATGATGATGATGATGATGATGATGATGATGATGATGATGATGATGATGATGATGCAACGGACCAATCAGAGTAAGACAGCGTATCCAGCGATCGTTAGGTAAACACGTGTCATCCCTCACCGCGTGCCTAGCGTCACATTCCGCCTTGGAAATGTTCGATCCTTTTGCGCATGCGGCTCGGCCTGCAAAATGGGGTTTCGCCTACAGCTACTTGTTCTCTACCAGAATAGGAGTCAGACTGCGCTTCGGTTGATGTGTCGGTACCTCGGATGCGCACAGGCTTCGAGTTGCTAGTAATTTTGAATCCCGTTACCGTTGCTGGCTGCCAACGTTGCTCATGTGGTAACCGGGCCTAAGCTGTTTGATGTTCCTTGAATGTAACTTCCGTCTTTGCCTCGTCTTAGGATACCGATTTTTTAATAATCTACCTTTTTCTGTGATTCCGGTTTTACCAGTCTCGTTCTCTGCTAGCGCCGAATCCCAGCCGGAAGTCAGAACGGGACGCTTGGAGTAAAGCGTTTTACAGAATAGGCTACCGAATGGAAACAAGTAGTGTGAAAGCAACGGACATTATTATAAGTTAACCAAGGAAGCTTCACGGATCAGAACAGCTAGGTCAGTTGTCTTGATTGGCAGATCGGTTACGTTAGCCATTGAGGAGGTAAGTACTTGCTTCGTGTAGACATGAATGTTCCTGATGCGAACATTCCTGAAACGTTCTGATCTTTTTTGTACACCATTGGTTCGAATCGTTTTCCTATTGAATTAATGAGTTTTCCTGGGAGATTTTCCTCTTCTTGACATCTGCTCTTGAGATCGCGGTTGTGGTCGTAATTTAGCCATGACTAATACTTTACAACAACACACTTTCGCGCATAGAGGAGACACCACCATTTGTAACTCTTGTCCGTCTATCCAATCGGCAATTTATGTTGGACAACAAATGCTCGCATGCCTGCGCATGCGTTTTTTTGGGGGGAGGGGAGCACAATCGTGTGTGAAGCGATGGATTTTGCTCTACCCTTTGCTGACATGCCGATTGGATAGCCGGACAAGCGTTACGGACGCTGGTGTTTCCTATATGCGCGCAAGTGACTTGCTGTAAGGGACTAGTGATGGCTGAATTGCGGAGATCGATCTAGATATATCGGACACACCGTAGTACTTCGGTGCTGTTTATAGAGTGCGCGATGCCAATCCTATATCACGTGAAGAACCGTCGTTTATG